TGACTGTTGCAGGTGAAGAATGAGCTAATGAAGTCTGAACTCATGTCCAGAGATGGTTTTTCCCTGGTTCTGGTTTCTTTCTCTCTTCCTCTGAACAATTCAGTAGCAATGACTTCAGTAAATTTCACTTGGATTTGTGCATGTTTGTTAAGAAGGATGGCAATTACTTCTTCAGCAAAGAAGCCAGTGTGGTGTAGCGGATCACAGGCGTGTGCACGAGAGGTAGGACTGACAGTTCAGATTCCAATGATGAGATGCACACTACCTATCCTGGTGGGGCTGACCATTCAGACTCTGATAATGAGATTGCTGAAATAGTCCCAGCCCCAACAGTGGCTCAAGGTCTTGAGACTCTGCAGGGCTTAGCTAGGGGAGAGATTAGCACAAGGGCAGATGAAGGGCCTGGTCAATCCGGCTGTGAGGAGGAGCTTCAGCATCTTGAGGAAGGAGACTTGGAAATGGGTAGTATTTTGGATGGGGAACTCCCACCTCCTGATAGGATAGATGCTAGGGTCAGACATCATCATCACAGGGTGGCTCAGTTGGGGACACAGTGAAGGAGTGCCCATTTACAAAGTGCTCCTCCCTGCAGAGAGAGATGTAGAAGGGTTCATGATGGAAGTTTTGGGTAAAGAATGTCAGATAGGGTTCAATATTTCACTTTGTGTATGTTTAGAGGCTTGAGTATAATACTATAGACATTTGGCAAAAAAATGCTGGTGAAATTGATACTACTGGGGGGATGGGGGAAACACAGCTAGCAACTATTGGACTAGGTCATGGGAGACCTGGATCCTAGTTCCCCCCGCTCAGCTGGGAAGCTCACTGACGTCTGGTCAGTCACCAGTTCTCAGCCTAGCCTGCCTCAGAGCTGGCATGAGAAAAAAATGGAGAGGAGCACGAGGACTATGTAAGCCACTGCGGGTCCCTTGCAAGAAGAAAACAGGTGTAAAATATTATTATTATTATTATTTCTATACCACCCATAGCCAAAGCTCTCTGGGTGGTTCACAATGCTGAAGTCCCCCATCCAGATTCCAACCAGGTCTGATCCTGCTTAGCTTCCAAGATGGTGCGTGATCAGGCCCTTCAGGCTACATGGATAATAGTAATAATGATGGTAATAATAGCAACAACAACAACATAGTGAGAGAAGCAATTAAAGGATCCCTCTGTGAATGCACACACATGACGGATTCTTTCTTCTGATGGAATAGAAAACTTTCCCAATCCTTAAAACAATGGGTTTAGTAGGGATGTCAATAGGGTCCCATCAGAAGGATGGTGGTTGGAATTACTTTTTCCCATCATGAAAAATGCGAAGTTGCCAACTCTGCATTTCCTCAAATGCAGGTTGTTTTACAAAGAAATTGGAGGATGTGAACATAATTCTGGGTTGTTTTGATGCAACCAACTCTTAGGAACCCTACACACCTGCTATGCCAAGACCATGGAAGGTGGGAACAGCAGGCAAAGTGTCTGTAAAACTTCAGACTTATGGGAAAAGCTTCTTTTTCTGGAAACATTTTTAAAAAAATATCAGCTGTAAATAAACCACATTAATCTAACGAGTGTTGCTTCTTATGATGTGATACAGATGGTGAAAAAGACTCTTGTCCCCACACTCACAAAGCACCCCGATGGCTTCTTTTCACCTGTAAACTTTGCTGAGAGAATTCTCTCTAACATGTAGTTACTTTTTGTCAAAAGAGTCTAGGCAGAAGCTGTAGGCCACCGGGTAGTTTGTATAGATAATTATCTCGCAACTCTTGCTATTTTGATAAATGTGTCTTTTAAAAATGCTTGATTATCTCTAAGGCCCAGCACGGTGTTCTCTTGGAAGAGCTGTCACATCGAGCCAAATGCTTCCTTTCCATCCAGAGCTTCCACCAGGGCCATGCAAAAGCAGCTGTCTTTGCTTGAACTGGACAAAAGAAGTCTCACAGCCTTTCCAATGTTTTGTAGAGCTTTCAAACTTTTATGGATTAAGTTACAATTCTTTTCTGCAATTGCAGACGGGAACATGATTTAGCCATTACTGAACACATGATGGGTATAAAATCAGCAGCAGACAATTCACCCCATGGTTCATGAATGCTGCAGGGATACCCAAAAGTACTCTGATTTCAGGTAAAGAAGTAATATCTTGTGTCACTATGACAGAAATGAAGCAGTGTATTTAAATGATGGGAATGTTTCTGGACAAGTGGAGTATCTCTAAAAAGGCATTATTGGCACCAGGCTGGTAGGGATTAAATGCAAAACGGCCACAGAGCTGTTTTTAAACAGACACCCACAGGAATTCTCAGGTATGCTGCAAACTGAACATATATGTTGGTTTTGGTAACTTTGCTGATTGAGCGACTGGACTCAAAGGAGAAAATTGACTTCAGGGCTAGCTTTGAGGTGACCCCTGGGACGGTACAGTCACACACTGCCAAAAGAGAATAAAATAGAGGACACAGAATGGCACTTTCTAATCTACATGTACAGAGGCAAATAAAAGCCAATGCTGCCATTTAAATAGAGAGAACATTTTGCCACACTGGAAAAAGCAGTGCCCAGATTACTTGTGCTTTCACTCATTCTGCTGAGCAGGTGCTCACTGCTGATGTGCAGCTGCACAGTCTGTCCGTCCGTCTGTCCATTCTTCCTTCCTTCCTTAGGAGTCTTCATCTTTAAAATGGGCTTGGATCAGACAGCCCTTCAAACAGAGGACAGTTCTCTATATAGTAGGTCACATGCCCACCCTAAGTGGGAAGAGCAAAGCTGAATGACTTGGGCAGCTGAGCCTATGAAATAAGGTTACATGAACTGCCTAACTTTTACATATATGGAAATATGAAAGACTTGAAAATTGAACAAGTTGTCCTTTTGTAACCTGGCCCCCCACACTGGCTGATAACAATTCTGGAAAAGGGAAGAAAAGGTAAAAGAGTTTTAATGTCTGGATTATTTGCTTTTCATGCTTGTCTGCTAGAACTGGAGACTGACTTTGAGAATGAGAAAGACTGTTTTTCCTATGTTTTTTGGTATCCTTTTCTGAATTTCTGGAAGGGGAAATAGAAAAAGAAGGAAAGGGGAGACTATCAAATGGGAAAGAACAACTGGTTAGATTCTGGGCTTGAACGCTTCTGAATAATGATAAAATATCAGCTGTATAACAGAATGCTAACAGAAATGGAGTGGCATCACATGACCAAGTTCCTCAGAGACGTGGGAAGCGGGGAACCTCTGTCCCTCCAGATGCTGTTGGACTACAACTCCCATCAGTCTCAGCATCAATGATCAGGGAAGTGGGAGTTGCAGTCCAATGATGCACGATATAATAAACACAATACGGCCTTGTTTGTTGTCAGTGCTGTTGTTGGTCATGGTGTTTTACCATTGTAATGCATCTTGCCTGAAAACCATAACAACCCTCTGTTCTAGGGTTTCACCCTAACATGATTGCTTAAGGCAACTGAACTTGGTTGACACACTCCATTGTAGGCAAATTCCCAGGACAAGAGAGTCGCTTGGCAAGAGAGGTCATTGCTGCTCTTGCCAAGTTACTAGCTCCAGTTTGGGGCTGCTGTCAGAGGCATTCTGGCTCCTCAGACCTCCTGCCCCAGAGAACAGGGCACAAGCTGGGCTTACTGGCTGGGGCAACTGCTCAGGGACAACCCCAGCTAGCCCAGCAATCCCTTCCCGGCTCCTGCTCAAGAGAAAGTCACTTAAGCAGGGATGGGAAAGGATGGCCTAGGCCAGACAGGAAGCCTCCTTCCTTGGTGTGCTCCCTGCTAGTCCAGGCTCTCGCTTTGCCACCTGCCTGAGCAGGTTTCCCCGCACAACGCAACTGGGGGAGGGAGGCTGGGCAAGGTGGTGAGAGGAGAAGAGCCTCCTTCCTTTCCACTGTGTGCACCGGGATAATGCTGGGAGGAAGGAGGGGGAAGGTGGGGGAGGCAACCACAATGAGCCTGCGCATCTGTGGTTTGCACTGAAAGGCAACCCATCATGGAGCTTTACCATGATGGCTTGCCGTTGTGCACGGACCCACCAGATGTCTGCAGGGCCAGCATTTTCCCCACCCATGTCCCAAGCGTTCTGTTACTTCAAAGTTAGAATAGGCTGGAAGCTGAGAGTAAGTACAACAAAAGGAAAGAGAACTAGGAGAAACTGCCCCTTCTGCCATCCCCTGAACGCTTCATACATATGCAAGACTTTTAAGATGGCAATTTGGTATCAGTCCACAAAGATGGTTGCATGCCAAAATGGAATGATTAAAATTCCTGACAGAGAATTGTAAAAGAGAAGTGCAGTGACCAAGCTGCAGCCTGAAAGGGTGCACTACCACGAGCCATGTACCAGGAGATTTATCTACATATAAATATTGATCAGCACTTAGGAAGCTTAAAAAGAAAAGATTAGACAACTGTACAGAGCATTGGCCTATCAGCTGCTAAGACAGCTCAGAGTTTAGCAGCAATATCATTCCAACTGCCAGAATCTGGAGAAAAACCAGGAAGCAAATGGACACGCCTGCTTCTGGATTTGGACAGGTACAAGGAGATTCCTTCTGTGAGTTGCACTGGCTGGCCCTGTTCCAGGAACAAGCATTTCCACTCATTTCGGGTTGTTTTTTAATCATGAGCTGCTCAGTGTCCTAGCAGAGGGTCCTGCTGGCACATAGGCCAACATGGAGACTGCCCCAAATGGTGGACCAGGTGGATTTTTGAGCTTTAAAGAGAGTTGCTGGGTCTTCTTTGATTGCCTTCCCTTTTTTTAAAAAAAAATATAGCACAGCACGTTATGCACGCAGCTGCCATTTCAGTCATTCATTACCAATGATGGTGTAATCAAGTGATTGTATAGCCATTTGTGAGTTCCTAGTGAGCTATCCCATAATGATGCTGTTATGAAACATTTTATAAACTCTAAGCAATCATGTTTTAGCAACACAAAGTTCTCATTTAAAGGTTCCACATGACTTATGTTCCTCATTAATAAGCCATTTGCTACTTTTCCACATTATTTTATTAAAAACGTGCTGTTAAAAAATACACATAGATTTTACTCTTTACAGATTTCAGGTAAAGATATTCTTAGGGAGTACCCTCATTGTCCCAGACGACACATGATCTCAATGCCCAGTTCATCTTTATAAAAGAGAGGGGGGGAAACAGGGAAAGTGGAGGGTCAGAACAATATATTCCTTCAACAGAAAAGACAATTAGTTCTTTAAATATTTCATCTCCTGTACATTATTGCAATGGGCAGCCACAACCTTATGCAGCATCATTATAAAGGAAACAAGTTCAGAAATAGCATAGATATCTGTATCTCTATATATTAAATAAAAATATACCTGTCCATTGTTTCAATGAATATGAGCTGTGGTAAACATATAAACGATGAAGCTTTCATCTGAAATGGTTGTTTAGCAACACTAGAGTGGGGTCAGGGGGTGGGAGGAGATGGAGAAACAACAAAAATAAATTACATAAGAACAGTAAATGAGTCATAAGCTTAACTACCTGATATATGGCTTCCTTATTCTTAATCTTTCTAAATAAAATATTAAAGAAATACATTTTTAAAAAGAAAAGGTTCAAGGCTGCGCTGATTCCAAATATTTCCACAACAACTAAAATGGTTCAAAATCAAATGGGGGATACACCTTGAGTACGACACAAGATACACCGGTACTGAGGCCTAAAAGATGACATAGTCCCTAGCAATGGGAGCACATGGGAAATAAGTCATTGCAATCCATTATTGAGATGTCATCAAGCAATTACGCACTTGCTTCATCTAAGCTTTTGCTGTACACCAGAATCTGTCCAGGTGGTTTCCAGAGGCCTACATACATCCATTCAAGGGAGAAAGATTCTGGGATTCAAGTCAGTCAGGAAAATATTCCACATTCCTTGTTTACAATGGAGGTCATATGACCATAAAAAAACACAAAAAACAGACCTATGAATCCTTCATGTATTTTGTGCAAAATTAAACTTCTAATGAACCATTGATCTAAGTTGCGTATTAAAAAAAATGACAAAACTGAAACAAGCCGTTGTCATCTAGATTGCAAGGCCCGTCGAAGAAGTGTGCCACAACCTATTTGATGGGGAAGTACTTAGGTACGGTGCCTTAGAAATACAGTCAGTGTCAATCCTTGCTCACTTCTACACAATGGCCAAAGTTACATGTTGTTGCCTCAAAAATTAGTACGGTGCAAACAGGATTGATGTTGGAGTTGCTCGGATAGGGCCATGCCCTGCCCTTAGGAGAGCTGTGGGTAATGCTGGCGCTTGGAACAAGGCAGCTGAAGGACGTGGGGGAAGAGTCAAAGTAGTTGATACCGCTGCAGCAGCCAGAGGAGACGAAAGGAAGGCCGGTGCTAAAGGCTTAATCATATCTTTTTGGAATGCGAGCTTTGCCTGTGGAAAAAGAGCAACATGAAATGGTTATTTCCCCAGTTCATGGCAATTTAAGAAACTCTCCAGATAAATGCTTTTAATCTTTCTTCCCACCACCCTTTCTTTTTTAATTTCTGTGCAAGAGACTATGAAAAGCTAGCTATTTAATACTCTCTATAGTATTAAACAATTCTCTCTATAGTATTGAACTAGTAGTTGCACACAGAGCAGTGTGCAACTTAGCTATGCTGCATTACTGTTAACCTTCCACAGAAAGTCAATATTCCCACACATTTTAGGGGCTAGATGAGCTCACCCACTCAAACATTAGAATGATTCTTTCAGAAAAGGTGGTGATTGCCTGGCATGCCTGGGAAAATTTTGCACCCAATTTTTGCACCCAATTGGAGTTGTCATCTCTACTTGCAGATGCAAGATGTACAAGTGTGTCGCCACCATCCCAGCCCTGCCAAAGCTCAAGAGACAATGTGGAAAGTGCCTTAATGAGGGCAACATGGATGCTGAGCCGCTGGGGAGTCTTCCGAGGCTGTGAAATGCAACCACCCTTCTCATGGGCCACTTGTAGGGACAACAGTGGTGGCTGAGATTTCGGGAGTGTCCTAAGAACCAGCTGTTCCAGAGCCTTTCCAAAACTAGCTGCTTCCTTGCAGATACAAATGAGATTTTTTAACTGTGGCCTGTGTTCAGGCAGGCACCTGCTGTGACTTTCGATTTCCCACTGTGACACTAATAAGTTAATAAAGCCTGAAGCATTTTAATTTTATTCTTTATAATTATGCAGGGATATCAGTCGTTTGCTTGTTTGTTTCTAAAGGTCAGCTGCAATGAGCTAAATTGAAAATATATGTATTTTAGATATTTTCTACTTGCAACAACATGGGTGCAATCTGGCTCCATTAAAAATAATTGTTACTGAGTTAAGTGTGGTGCCTATTTTTGTAAAATGTGCAGAGTTCTAGAAGTCTTCACTATGAGGTGGGTATAAAGACTTCTAATACTACAGTACAGAAATGAGAAACAGGGGTCCAGGAATGGAAGACGGAGAAGAGACGCAATGCAAACTAGATGAAGAACCCCCCAAAAAACAATTACTCAGATACTGTAGAACATTTCTAAGGCATCAGAATACTTCTCAGGTGAAACTGAGGAAGGTTTTAAAAAGCAGTCAAGATAAATGGAATTGAGCCAGTTCTACAGTCCAACACTTGGAGACCAAAGCTCACTTTCATGTGGAACGTTGAAACATTACATTTTATCTGCCATTCTGTTCTGACCACCATTCTTGTCTTGTTTAAAAAAGGCAAGGATATATTCTAGATAGTTAACATAAACTAATTCAATCATTAATAGTGATGGAGTGGCTTTTTAAATTTAAATAATACTACATTTAAAAAAAATGAAAAAGTAAACATAAAATTAGAATATTATTGAATATTAGAATATGGAGTGGCTTTTTAAAGGTAAAAACAACAACTTTGCTTATCACTTCAATTCAATTAGATGGTTTATTTTTCTTCCCCAACAGAGACTTGCGCTTTAATGCTATTACTCTTTTGCATGAACTGGCACAGAAAGACCACTCCTGTGGGCCATTTACTGACATTTCACTGCAGTTGGAATGCCCTGATTGCTGTCCCAGGTAGACCACATTCTGGCAATACTTACGGCTAGTATACTTGGACTACGCTGCAGTTTGTTATAAGGACTGTATTTCGGCTTTGTAGGCTTCCCTGCAACTCTGTCTTTGTGCCTTCTGCTGGAAATGTGCTGCAAATTTCAAACAAAATATTCTGCTTAAACATTATTTCTTCAGTTGCAATTGTTGTGCAATGGACATGCAAATGCGTGAACGTATTTCAAGAGAGAGTAAATCAAGTACAACTTCTACAGGAAATTTAGAGTTGCACCATTAAACTTTTTTTAAAAGCACACAACTGGAGAGCCCAAGTCCTACAAGCAGAACTGTGGAAATCCTGTACATATTCAAAATGTATTTAAGCCTATATTACTTAGAAAAAGACCCTCCCCATTCTAAGCATTCCATTGGGAGACAATGATATTGAAAGGTACAGTGTGCATTAAGAGAGAAACACGGAGACCTAAGGGCAGGTGATACCCTTAAGGGTAGTGTTAACATATATGTAAATTAAAAAAGCAAGAAGAAAAGCTGCTGGGGAGAGGTCGTTAATCTGGTGACAATGCTGACTGCCACTGTGGGGAAATCCAGGGAGGAAGGGAATGATTATTATTTTATTTCTATACCACCCAACGGCTTAAGTTCTCCATGCAGTTTAGGACAGGTTGTGCTAGCATCTTGTAAGAGCAGACATGGCATGTTCCAGTCCCCGGACTTCTGGGGTTTCCTCTTGCCAGAATTAAACCATGACCTCTGGTGGCAGCTGGACAAATGCCCCAGCTCCTGATCTAGCTAACATTACCTGCTTCAGCTGAATTTCTGAATTGACATGGACATCACAGATCTCACAATGAAACGTTTTGTTCTGTAGGCCCGAGCCCGTGGTGGTGCTGTGCGTCTTCGGTCTGGATCCAGGTCTGGGGTATGATTTGATTGGCCCTGCACCATTCCGAGCCTCGACCATCGTCTTGTGCTTGGACCCTAGAAGCCATTTTGCAGAAGAGTCAAGAGACAGTCTCCACCCAAAGGACACCTGGCTGTTTGTTTCCAGCCAATCTAGGGTTTTCACTCCTCCCTGGTTTTTCTATTACATGGGTAAATAAGGTGAATAATGAATCCAGAGTGTTGCTTATTCATGGGTACTGTATATTACAAGAGTCATTCTCAAACAGTGTTACGATAGCCTATTAACACAAATGTGCAACTGTTCAGGAACTGCCTATTTGTACTGTACTCCCTCTCCATAGCCCTGTTTTACTCTGTCACTACTGCTACTACTACTTCTACGGCGTCCACAGAAGCTCTGCTTATCAGCTCCAACTGCACAGAACTTGCTGACCTCCCCAAAAAGGGCTTCCACATCCCACCACTTTAGGATCCCTGGCGCAGTGCAGGAAGATTTGTTTTAAAGTTGTGGAATGTTTATCCCGGAAAAAGGGTATGGCGCCTCACTAAATTTGCCTGGCACCATCTCTATTTTCCTTTCGGCACCAGGTGAAGACATATCTTTTCAGGAATTTTTTAGTATTTAGCCTATATGGCCCTTTAAAATTGTTTTTATAATTGTCTAAGTTATTATGTTTTAATTGATTTTACTGTGTTTTTACTGTTGGTATGTTTTACATTGTAAGCCACCTAGAAAGGCTTTGGCAATTATAGGCGGCCTAAAAATATATGGAAATAAATAAATAAATAAATAAATAAATAAATAAATAAATACCCCCCCCCGAACAGAGAACCATTTGTACCACTTTCATCTCTTTTTATGTAAGCACAGGAAAGGAGGAAAAATAATAGTGAACTTCAGTACCCCAGATGGAAGTATGAGAGGTCACTTAACATTTAATGCTGGAAGCATCATTATTGTGCCCAAGAAAATCCATGACAAGTGCACCAGTATCACTTCTGCTGTGGAATGGGAAGACCGGGAAAGCTCATTGTGCACAAAGTCCTCACACTGTCACAGGGATGATAAATGCATAATAGAGAAAAGCTATGAGAAAAGCTGAAATTCAAAGCCAAAAAGATCTAACTTTAAATGTATGTCTAGCAGCTTGACTTCTTTTCATTTGCACTCTGCAGGAGGCACAAGGCCCCAGCCTGTACCTGCAGAGGTCCCCTGCTCCACAACAGGGTTACAAATCTGATTGGGGCCTTATGCCTCTAATGAACAGACTATGTAGTTGCTTAGACTCACACTGAAGTAATGTTTCGTTCGGCCCACAGGGCAATGTCTGAGGCCGACACGGCGATACCAATCCTATGTTTGCCTCATAACTCTGATGTGAGGGGCAGGGTGGATGTTCAGCTCCTTCTCCTAGCTGGTGATTCTCCTGTGCTAACCAATTATTTGCAATTTTCCCAGCCTTCCACAGGTGAGACTGGGAAAATAAGCCGTACTGGAGTGGGAGCAGGGAGGTCTGAGGGAGGGGTTGATCGGCAAAGCAAAGAGCCCTCCTGCCTGCTGATTCTCCTCTGCCCCCACACTATCCTTAGCCAACAAGCCCCTCAGCATCCCTTCTGCAGTTCAAGCAGCTTTCAGTTCCTGCCCTTCCAAATCCTGTAAGCAGGCTTTGGCTGGCCAGAAAATCAGAACTAAGTCTGAATGGGAAAAAAGTTTACTCTCATTACAAAGGCAAAGAAGAGCATATAGCTTCTTGTTGTTGCTTTTCTTTCAAAAATGGAAAAGGCAAAAACACTTTGAAGGAAGAGATTCATAGATTTAATTATAGTTCTCCCAAGGAAACAAAAGGAGGATTTTTAATGACATATATACTGAGCATTTTTTAAAATCCCACACAAAATTGCAGCTATGACTGTAATGCCCACCTAGATGCAGAAATGCACTGCGGTTCAGTTTATAAATTTTGAGTTGCTTAGTTCCACCCCTTTAATATCACTCCCACGTTCCCTTTTCAAAACTGCTCCGGTCTTTTTGACCCCTTTTCTGGTGACCCATTTCCATATTTTGGCAGTGTATAAACGTCTGCACTCCATGGTACCAGTGGTACAGCAGGGATGCTGGAACTGGAAGATGCATCAAGACAGGAGCTCACAACGGTTAAGCCTGCCACGCAGAGCTCCAGGGAAGGCCTTTCTAGCAAGTGACCACATGGTGGCTGTGACATTTGGCATGGCCCTGAAAGGTTCATCTCAGTATCTAAAAACTGCCGTGTGATGTTACATTCTGCAGCACTATCTCCCGCAATAAGAGGATAAAGCATGGAGTAGAGAGAAACCATCAGTCTGGGCAACAAGGACATTCATAGAAGGTGGCTACACTAAGTAAGTAATAGATGTCTCTTTCAGAATAACCAGAAGATTAAGAGCTTTAATAAAGAATAGAATTTATGTTTCCTGGGTTGTCTGTAGGCAGGAGTCTAGTAATTGCTACTGTATATTTTAAATATCCGTTCCTTTTGCAGGGAGGGAAAATATACTGCAGAGACCAAGAGATGCATACATCGCCATGTCCAAAAGCAAAGTCTTGTGAAATTTCAGTTATGCATTTAGTTATTTCCAGCAGACACGCACCTGTGTTATGCGCTTCTAGCTGTGAGAGGGAGTTTACAGCCACTTTGCATAAGGAACAGTAGAGCAGTTTCTTGGCTTTCTCCTCTTCGGATTCAGGGATGGCATTCGTGGCTCCATTTGTGCTCTTGGAGGAAGTGGGCGATGAGTGTGCTGCTGCTGCTGCTGCTGCGGCGGCTGCTGCGGCTGCTGCAGCTCCGACAGGTCCAGACTCAAAGAGAAAGGGGACCACGTCTACATTTGGAAGTGGACTAGAGCCAATGGCTTTCAGATTCACCCTAACTTCTAAAAGAGAGAGAGAGGAGGGGAGAAAGAATATGAGGCTGCCAGATTTCCCTTCATTCTATCAACATCATCAGCATCATCTTGTATTTATATCCCAGCTTTCTTTGTCCTGCAAAGAACTCAAGGAGGCTTACACGTTTCTCCTCCTCCCCACTTTACCCTCACAACAACAACCATCTGAGGTAGGTTAGGCTGAGAGACGGTAACGGGGTCAAAGTCACCCAGTGAGCTTGACAGTCGAGTGGGGACTGGAGCCCAGATCTCCAGAGTCCCAGCACAGCACTCTTAACCACTACATCACACTGGCTCACCCATCATTAGAACCCCACTATCAAGAATTGAAGGCATCTTTCAAGGCTGTTGAGCTTCCCTGGATCAATGTCCAGAGTCATTATCTACGTTTGACAGACGGTAGCTTTCCAGACAACGCCCAGGCAAGACTTCCCAGTTTTGGAGCTCTGGAACGGCAAACCAATGGAGTTGTGCAAATCCATTTAAAACGTTAAAAGAACTTACCAAAAAATAGCACACATTTGGGGTACAATTAAACAAGGTAAATAACTGGCCGACTAGTGACAACCCCTCCAGTGTGCTGCTTGGGCACTTTGGAGGGGCTGTCACTAGAGGCTGTGTGGGTGGGATTGTCGAGAGCAAGGGTTGTCTGGCAATTCTTGCTGAGCGCCTCACTGGCTATTTCCCACAACCTACAGTGGGATTGGTTGCCTGGGTTCAGACAACAGAACAACTCTTGGTGGGCTGAACAATCCCTAGAAGAGCCCAAGAGTTCTCAGGGTGGCTCACTGGGGAAAAAAACAAGTCACTTTGAGGGAGGCAGTGTGGCTTCAGGTGGTACAGCAATTCACAGAGGGTAGTTACAGGTTATCATGTCATGTGAACCAGGTCAATGTGATCAAGGAATAGTCCCAAGGATGATGCAGATTAGAAATGTATTTCTGCTCAGGAAAACAGACCATGTGAACATATTTCATATTAGTCGGAGTTTGATGAACCTCATAATTCCTAGCTAGAACATGTAAAATACACAGAGCACTCCGGAGCCCCTAACCTTGCAGGATATTTCTGAGTAATCAATGCAGGTATTTCTCTTGCTCATGAAAAACAGTCCTTGAAACACTAAAGACACATCCTTGACTTAAACAAAGTGAACCACAAACAAAATACTGCAGAAAAATTGCACTGAAAGAAAAGGCATTCTCTTGTGGAGGTAGGATGTTGTGCTACTGGATCCTCATTACTAATGGCAGTATAAGGCTGAGAAAAGGCAAGGCTTGTATCAAAGGTTTTATGCCACAGAAGCTCTTCTTTCATTCTTTAATCAACATTCTATTCATATTACCTACACAAGTGTATGTGATACAATACGGTGGGACAAGGTTAAATGAATAGTCATCTGTATTTGGTTCAGATCTTCTATGCAAAAAAGATCAGAATCAGGGGCTTAGATTATGATATAAGGAAGTTTATAGGTGGAAGGTTTCTTGGACCCCTTGTAAAGTCTTTCTGGACGATGGGGAGGGGCTTCCAGAACAATGCAGGATGGGGCATTGGAGGGGGATTGCTGGGGGAGGGGGAAATTGGATGGCTCCCTGTTTCAGTTTTGCGTGATTTCTCATGCAGTAACCCCCCCCACCCCGCCACACACACACACTCAGTCTCGCACCAATCAGCTTCATTTTATGGGTGAGGGAGAATAATCTCTGAATACAATGAGATACACTGCATTAACTGACCCTTACCCTAGAAATATAACATAACTCCTCTATTCATTTAAGAGCATACAAAGGGAGAATTTAACATAATGAATGAAATTTACAGAAAGTTGTAAAAAAGTATTTTGAAGTATATAATGAAGGACTCCAGTTAATGACTGCCATGTCCACTTTCATTCATAAGATTTACTGGGGAGAGTTACTTCAAATACACTGAGCACTTGATGCCAAAGGAAGTGATATTAGATTTAGCTTAGCAGAACTGATAAGTACCAAATGTAAATGAATACTGTATTTCTCCAGGGTGTTAATCTCCTACAAATGCAGAACTTTTAAAATTACAGAATTCATATAATTACAAGAGAGACAAATAAAGCAGGTATTGATAGGATAAAAAAATTCTGCAGAGAAGCTCTCCTTTCAGGAATGCTTCCCCTTTGTTATTATTCTAATAATATAATCTGATCCCAACAGCTCATATCAAAAAGAAGCCTTCTCCTGTCACTATTCCCCAGTGGATGCTGTCCCAGATCATGGAGGCAGCCATGAGTAATACTATTATTCTCCATTATTTTGTCCATATCCTGTCTAGGTTAGGATTTGAGGAGGCAGCTGGTCTATCAAAAAGATAAATTCTGCAGATTAATACATATTCATTTATTATTACTATTACTATTATTATTATTATTATTATTATTATAACATTTCTTCTAATTTTGTTAGAAGATCAAGGCAGTGTATATAGTTCATTTACCCATTTCTATTCTCACAGCAATCTTGTAAGTTAAATTGGGCTAAGTTTGGCCAGAGATTGGCCCAAGGAACATGATGGGGTGGAGATTTGAGCCTCGGTGTGCCCCATTGTACACCCTCTCTGCTCATAATGCCAGACACAAAAAGGGTGGGTAGATTTTTTGATTTTTTCCCTCCGAGAACTCTGAGATCTACCACTTAGAGCGAAGGAAAAATAATAGTGGCTTAGAACTATGGATACTCAAGAATTTGCTTTCAGTATCAGAACTGAGCTTACAGTCCTTCCATACAAAATAATTCCTTGGTCTCTCACATTCTTTCTTCATTTTGGTATCCTTGGGGGGGGGGGCAGGGGAGTTGTTGGCATTTTAAACAACTGGGAGTCAGAAATCTTGATTTATTGCAAATTACCTAGCAGAACATGATCTTCCTTTTGGCTACCACTGATGCGCAAGATGTCACAATGCTAGTGTGATGTGAACCAGGATATCTCTGGTTGGAGGACCCTTCTGCCCATAGGTGGCCTTGGACAAGTCACTACCTCTCAGCTTACTTTTCCAGGTTTTTCTAAAGATGGCGAACATATCTACATGCTGTGAAAACTCTACTGTGCCAATAAACAAACAAATAATCCAACACCCAAATCTCACTTATCATTGAATGTTCCAAGCACCAATCAAATTGATCACCTTAGGTCAGAAAAACAACCTGCCCACTGAAGAATGACTGCATGAGGTTACCTTTAACCATTGTACCTGGCTGCAAGTAACCTCCATGACGCTATAAACTAGCCAAAGGGAAAGGGCATATGCAGAGATACCTAACATGCTGTTGAAAAAGTGCTTTAAATGCTTCACTTAGCACTTTGGCGCTGTTCTCTGTCACCTGAACCTCCCTCTGTTCCCAGTCTTTGTGTCAAATTTTAGATGGGAAGCTCCACAGGGCAGGATCAGTCATTTGGTATATCATTCTGAAAGATGCTATGCATATGGATAACAATGGAACAGTTCTGTGTTATTCATATTATTTTGCCACACAACAAGTACAAGCAACTGACAGCAAACTTGCCAGGCATGGATAAGCTGTTATCATGTTGTCAGACACAGAACTTTCAAATGCAGGCATGACACTGGAAACAAAGAAGTGAATATGATCACCACCCCCAATACACTTCATAACACTCACTGATAGAAAAGACTGAAGAACTATTTCTATCCCTCAAAGTCATGACTATGTATGAGACAGAAAGTGCAAGGAATCCATGTAGTGTGTATTTTTTTATCTGAACAGAAGAATGCTTTAACAATATGATGACTTCCCACTTCTACAGTGTAATTCAGCATAAAATAGTTGGTGTGGTGGCAAGACAACTTGTCTGAATTTTGCTTTTATCATGTTTTATGTCTAGGGCATGTGAAAGATTTGCAGGGCACAATGGTTAAAAGCAGTGCAATAGCTCAGACTTTCTGTTGCCCTGGGTTCCTGCAATGGTGGTACCTCATCCTCACCACTTGAGAGCACGGCAAAAGATAGGATCAGACTTGTTAGATGTTTTATCATCTTTATACACGAGCTATGGATTTCTGAAGTATATGTGAACAGAGTGAACTGGCCTACCTGCTGTTGTCGAAATGTGAACTTTCATGATATCTGAGCCAGCCATGCTACCAAGCCATGGCTTGTTAGCCATGAATAACCCATAAAGAGAACCCATGGCTTGCTGCTGGGTTGTGGACTGTGGGTTGTTCACCATGGTTTGCTGTATCACCTGGTCCAGACAACAATATAATCCACTTTTCAACCAGCACTCATAGTTCATAGATTTTTGTGGCCTTTTCACATTCCTGGATGGTATAGGATACTGACAGAAGGGAACAGCAATCATAAAGTGAGAATTAACCTTGCATGCAAGTGCCTTCTAGAAATGCTGTAAATTATTTGTATTTCAGATAGCTTTTAGTGGTCAGGAAAAGGTAGGATGAGGATGGCTTTATTCCTGGTGGTCTGATGACTTGCATCTTTTCATTTACCACAAAACTTTGGAATTGAGTGGGCTATTGATCAACCCAAATAAATACTTCTATACAGAAAGGGAAAATACAATTCATATGCAGAAAAAGTTCTAAAGTTTTGCTAACAAGTTTGGGGTTGATATGTTAGATCCCTGACAATCTGAAACAAAATTTAAATGAACACTTCTTTTTTTCTATCTGTTTAAAGCGTATTTGTTTCTGCCATGTTATTTCTTAAAATATGGAAACTGAATTCTTTGGAAAAGAATTCTTTGGATTGTCATGTGGACCGATTGCTTTGAATACTGAAAAAAATTGTTCTAGAAAAATAAAAGTTGGGAAATTTCCAATAAGAAGAAAATATTGGAGCCCCACCCTCAGCACAGTGTTTGATGCTCAGGATCAGCCATTTACAAAATTAATTACATTTTTATGAAGGAAGGATTAATAATATCTATTATATGTAGCACCAAGAATTAGACAGAAGAAAGAAAGTAATTACAAA